GGATTGATTCAGTGATTGGGGTAATTGGGATGGGTGTGTCAGAGACAGTGCAATTGGCACAGGATAGAGCAGAGTTTAGGGCTGTTGTACATAGGGTTACTAGGAGTTGCAGGTGACTCAACGTCACATAACACCAACAACATAGGTAGAAAACGGAATGATCCAGAACATATAAAAAGAAGATTGAAGGAGTATACAGAGTCACTGTACCAAAAATAATTGGATGATACAGAAGAATTTCAAGAAACAACATATGATTAAAAGGCAATGGTGGTGAAGGAGGAAGCTCAGGCTGCTCTGAAGGACTTGGCAAAAAAAGCCATAGGAATTGATGCAATACCAATTGACATATTTTAACAAACATGATGCCCTGGATTTGGTCACCAGGTTGTGTCAAGAAATATGGAAGACAATTACCTGGCCAACTGACTGGAAGAGATCCATATTTATTCCCATTCAAAAAAAAAAAGGTGATCCAAAAGAGTGTGGAAATTATTGAACAATATCACTCATATTATGCACAAACAAAATACTGTAGACTATCCAGAAATGACTGGAACAGTACACTAACAGAGAATTACCAGAAATACAAGATGGGTTTAGAAGAGGCTGGCACAAGAGACATTATTGCTAATGTCAGATGGATCTTGGCAGAAAGCAAAGAGTACCAGAGGGATATCTATCTGTGTTTCATTGACTATGCAAAGGCATTTGACTATGTTGATCACAACAAATTGTGATTAACCTTGAGGAGAATGAGAATCCCAGAACACTTGATTGTGCTATGTGAAACCTATATTTGGAACAGGAAGTAGTCTTCAGAACAGAGCAAGGAAACACTGCATGGTTCAAAATCAAAGAGGGAGTGTGTCAGGGATACATCCTGTCACCATACCTTTTCAATCTGTATGCAGAACAGATCATTCAGAAGTCTGGGCTTTATGAGGCAGAATGTGGCATCCAGACTGGAGGAAAGCTTATCTACATCCTACGTTATGCGGATGATACAGCCTTGCTTGATTCATAGGGTCACTATGAATCGCAGATGACTTGATGGCACATAACAACAACAAATATTAATATCACATGCAAGCAAGATCCTTCTGAAAATTATCTACAAACCACTGGAATTGGAACATCGACAGAGAACTGCCTGATGTGCAGGCTGGGTTTAGATAAGGCTGAGGCACTAGGGATATTATAACCAATGTAAGATGGATTTTAGTGGAAAGCAGAGAGTACCAGAGGAAAGTTTATCTGTGTTTCATTGACTATGCAAAGGCATTTATGTGAATCACAACAAACTGTGACTAATTCTGAGAAAAATGGGAATCCCCTGAGAAGAACCTCATTGTGCTTGTGTGAAACCTATACTTGGGCCAAGAGGGAGTCATCAGAACAGAGCAAGTAAACACTGTGTGGATCAAAATCAGGAAATATGTACACAAGGAATGCATCTGGCCTCCATACCTTTTCTTTTTTTTTTCTTTACAAATTTTATTGTTAATTATTTACCTTAATAGATTCAGAAAGAAGAACAGATTAGCTCAGTCCAGCATGATTGGCAGTTGGCAAAAATCTAGTGAAGCAAGTGTTCTGATTGCTAAGGATTTAATCTGGATGCTTTAATACTTAGCCATCTAACACTTCAAACATAATCTGGAATAAATGCATCATCTCCCTCTCTTTCATTTTAATATCCTGCCTACCTCACTTCAGTGTGGAAATATCTTCATTAAAAAGGATTCCCAGAGTAACACATTCCCTGGGGAGGATAGCCACGAGTACAATGCACAAAAAAGAAAAACTTAAACTCTGTATGATAATTTACTAGTCTAGAGAAACAAAACTTTCCAATATATTAAGAAATAAATCCTGTTACAAATGCTCTAAGAGGTCTATGTTAAGAAGATCTGGGGTGATAACTGAAAATGGCCGGCTATTTACAAGATACACAAAGAGGATCGGCGCACCCACATCACGCTGGCCCTCAGAAGCCAAAAGTGTTCTCTCCACTGTTGGCCACATACAAGAATCCATCTTCATCTTTTTCCTTCTCATAAAGCTGTCCCATGGTTAGGCTGGACTGTGGGACTGTCTTATCCACAAAGAGGAAGATGGCCTTTTCTGAAGGAAGCTGGATCCTTTTCCTGATGATCCCCATGAACTGAGAGCCACGGTGATGTCGGATGGGACCAAGTACTCCCGTTTGTCAGTGTCAACAATCTGAGAGCCCGAGACTTTTTCCACAATCACCGGAACCCGGTCGGGATATTTCGCGCAGATTTTGGCGGATTCCACGCATCTGTGTTCCAATGAGTGGTCCTCCTTGAACACCCACTTCATGGCGGCGGCGAGGAGGGAGCCGAGGAGTTGAGCGTACCAACCACAACAACGATGGTGGCAACTGCGGCGGCAGCCCTCCATACCTTTTCAATCTATATGTGGAACAGATCATTTAGGAGGCTAGGCTCAATGAGGAGAAATTTGGCATCAGCTTTGGAAGAAGACTCATCAAAAACTTGCATTATGCAGATGACATGAATTTGCATGCCCAAACTGAGGAAAACCTGAGGCATTTGCTGCAGAATGTCAAGGACTGTAGTCATCAATAGGGATTGAAGTTCAACATCAAGAAAATAGACATTTTTTTCACCACTGCGCCAGTTGGCAGCATCATGATAGATGGTAAAGAAATTGAGATACTAACAGCTTCAGCTTGCTTGGATCCACAATCAATACTTTTGGTACCAGTGCCAGGAAATCAAAAGGCAAACTGCATTAGGAAAATATGCTGTCAGGAAACTCTCCAGAGCTCTCCAGAGTACTAAAGAGCAATGATCTCAGTCTAGAGACTAAGGTGTGCCTGATCCAGGCCATTGTATTTGCAATTACTTGCTGTGCATCAGAGAGCTGGACAACAACTAAGGATGACAGATGAAAAATTGTTGCTGTTGAATCATGGTGCTGGAGAAAAGTAATGAATATACTATGGACTGCCAGAACAAACAGGTTCATTCTGGAAAGGGTGAAACCAGGCTGCTCCTTGGAGGCAAGAATTTTGAAGCTTCTTCTGACATACGTCCTTAGAGAGGAACATTATGCTTGGAAAGGTAAAGGGATAGGGCAAGAGAGGGAGACCTTGGAAGAGATGGATTGACTCAGTGACTGGAATTATGGGTGTAGATGTATCAGAGACAATGAGGTTGGCTCCATATAGAGCAGGGTTCAGAGCTGTTGCTATGAGTCACAAGTGACTTGATGGCACATAACAAAAAACAACCACAATTTAGTGGCATCCCACTCAAAACACTAAATTGCTAACCAAAAAGTTAGCAGTTTGAGCCCAAGCTGCTCTGCTAGAGAAAAGAGTGCTTCAGTAAAGGTTATGATATATGCAAACCTGTGGGGCAATTGGTGGCCTAGTGGTTAAGAAACTGTGCTGCAACCCAGAAGGCACACAGTTTTAATCCACCAGCTGCTCCATGGGAGAAGGATGAGCAGTATTCTATGTTGTGATTAACTGCCTCTGAAAACCTGATGGAGAGTCAGCTATGGGTCATTCCGACTCTAAGGCACACAACAACAAAGATCAAATAAACAAATAGAAAACACCTCCAAACACCCTACATTCAAAGCAACTAACAAGAACATTCTTTAGATTCACGCTATTTAATAGACATTATTTCCCCCATGTTATCGGAGACCAATGTTCAGAGAGGTTAAGTGACTTGCCCAGTGCAACACAGGCAGCAGGAGGAACAGTCAAGGTTGGAGCCCCTGTCTGGCAGGGCAGTTTAACGTTATTTAAAACCCCACTTCAAGGTGGGGGATGGAGTGAACAGAGACTCACCATTCCACCCTCAACAAAATTACTGCCATGTCCCACCCAATAGGGCTAATCATTCTCCTCCCTAGGACTTCCCAGAAGGCTCCGCTCCACTTCTCTGCTGTGGAAGGGCAGCACCCAGGAGGCCCTGAACCTGCTCAAGGATGATGTGCTGGTGGCAGACCCAGGAACCAGGTAAGGCATGCCCCCCAAGACCCTGCCACAAACTAAGAGCCTTCTTCAGCTCATCCTGGAGGGTCAGAGCCAGGAGAAACCTGAGATCATAGAACAACTCCTGGTGCTACGCCTGAGAAGACTTAGGCTGAGATACAAGAGGGCAGAGGAGAGAATCCAGTTCCGTTTGAATCTTGTGTTCTTCCTGTTCATTCACGTCACATTTAATGAACACCTACTAGGTGCCCAGAATTGGATAAACACCCAGATATAACAACTAGTGAATCTAATCAGGGCCTTCCTTGTGTTGTTTTACATAGAAAACCGTGAACACAAATGAAGATACATACAGATTCTGCCACGAGTCAAGAAGGAAACAAATGAGGCACTAAGGCAGGGAGTTCTGATGGTCTAGTCTGTAGACAAGCTGTGCTGCTAACTCAAAGGTGATGACTCTCTGGTGGCTTAAATTCACCAACTGCTCCAAGGAAGAAAGATGGCCAACCTCCTCCTGTGCTTACAACCTCTGAAACCCAATGGAGGCTCAGCTGAGTTGGTTCTGACTTAATGGCAATAAGCGGAGTTGTTGATTTAAGGAGTAAGTGGGTGACCACTCTTGTTATATGTTATCAAGTTGACCACAACTCATAATGACCCTATGCATAATACTGCTGAAAACTGCTCTGCTCTCTAGACACACCTAGCCTCATTACCCCAGTTACTATGTCAATCCATCTTATCCAGGGGTCTTCCTCTCCTGCACTGTCCCTCCACCATTCCAAGCATGACATTCTTCTCCAAGGTACTGGTCCTTCCTGGCAACATGCCAAAGTATGTGAGCCAGAACCTCAAAATCCTTGCCTCCACGGAACAGTGTGGCTTCACCCTCTCCAGGATAGACCTGTTCTCTTGGCAGCCCATATATGTTCAATACTCTTTCTCCAGCCCCACAACTCAAAGCCATCAATTCTGTCATCTTTGCTAATGGTCCAGCTCTATAATGCAAATGTAATTGCAAAGACCATGGCCTTGATCAGGCACACCTTGGTCTCTAGACTAACACCCTCACTCTTTTAACATTCTGGAGAGGTCCCTAGCAGATTTTCCTAATGCAATTTCTTTTGATTACCTGACTGCTGGTACAAAGAGTGGTGATTGTGGAACTGAGCAAGCTAAAATTGTTAACAATCTCAATCTCTTCTCAATCTATCATGATGCTGTTAATTGGCCCAGTGGTGAGAATTTTTGTTTTCTTGATATTGAACTTCAATCCAAACTGCATATTACAGTCCTCGACTGTCTACAGCAAATGCTTCAGGTCCTCCTTAGTTTCAGCATGCAAGGTTGTGTCACCTGTATAACACAGGATGTTGATGAGTCCTTCTCTAATCCTGATGCCACATTTCTCCTTATCAAGTCCAAAATCCCAAATGATCTTTTCCACACACAGACTGAAAAAGTATGGAAACAGGATACATCTCTGATGCACTAAGCATTGAGAAAAGCTAAAATTCTGGAGCAGCTTAGGCTGTGAAACTGGGCAGAAGATCCTTGACTCTTCAAGCAGTAACCACTCTGTTTCCCCAAAGGAAGAAAGGATCCAAGTAACATAAAGAAAAGAGCATTGCTTTGGCATCTGCAGACTGGAATTCTCCTTCCAGTTCTGCCATAACCTTGCGGTGTAACCTGGGGATAGACACTTAACCTCTTCACCTCACCTTCTCATCTGCAAAATAAGGGGGTTGGTCTAGAGTTCAGGAATGCTTAACAAGATTTACTGATGTTCATCCATCCATGTGCCTTCCTGAGGCACTATTTTAGAGATTCTGAAATTATGTCTGTCCTAGGAAAGAAACAAAAATCTTTCAATTATTGATGTCTTTCACAGGCCTGCATGAAGAAAAGGATAGAACCTTGACTTATATTTGCTATCTTTGAACTGCATGATTATTATAAATTCTTCCCTAGTCTGACTAGTTCTCCATTGAAAGAAGTAAAGCATACTCAAGAGTAAAGGAAAAACCTTTGTCTTACTTTTCCAGGTGCTTTTGTCTAACTTAGTTCTCCCTCAACTTGTTGTGTGACCCCCACAATTGCCTGCCCCTCTGGGCCTTAGTTTTATACCAGATGTAGAATGGTTCTCCTTAGCTGTCAGTAGGTGCATCTCACAGCAGCTTTATGTATAATGAGACGAAACATTACCTGGTCCTGTTTTATCTTCTAGCACTGTACTGGACATTGTTCTGTCTTCACGTGATCCCTGATGTTTTCATCGGCTAATTTTTAGAAGTAGATTGCCAGGCCTTTCTTCCTAAGAGATCTTAGTCTGGAAGCTGTGCTAAAACGTGTCCACGATGGATGACCTTGCTGGTATCTGAAATGGTTGGACATTGCTTCTGCAGCAGTCTGCAATCCACAATTACAATTAACTGAAGACAACATGGGGGTGTAGAACAGGGAGATGTGTTCAAAGATTTCCCAAGTCTCTTCTCGGTTTGGGTCTGATCAGGTAGGACGCAACGAAGCCAACTTCTTCCCAGTTCTCCCAGTCCAATAAAGCTCTTGTGGTATTTCAGGCAGCTTAAGCAGAGGGGAGGAATTATTTAGGGTCTGGAGGTGGCCATCTCAGCCATGTCCTATTTTCCGCCCTTATCCTTCCAGGTGTCATTACAGCACACTAGCCTTCTCGCTGCTAGCCCACGTCCTCGCTTCCCACACTCTTCAGGGTGACTACCAGCGATGGGTCTCAGAGAACCTCCTGGAGCCACTGGGAATGACAGACACGGGCTTCGACCTCACGCCCTCTGTGCGTGTTCGTCTGGCAGCTGGCTTTTATGGCAGTGGAAGGCCTGCGCCTCTGTATGACTTGGGTTGGTATCGCCCGTCTGGTCAGATGTACTCCACTCCTGCTGACTTGGCCAAGCTGGCCATGGTGCTCCTGGACAGCGGGTCCCAGAGGCTCCTGCGACCAGACGCCGCCAAGATGCTCCTGGCGCCGCTGCTTGCCTGTCCGGGCGCCTACTTTGCCAATGAGACGGGCACGCCGTGGGAGTTCCACCTGCAGCAGGGCTACAGAGTGGTGCGCAAGGATGGGGACCTGGATGGCTACGCAGCCACCTTCTCGCTTGTGCCCCCGGTGGGCCTGGGCCTCGTGCTGCTGATGGCCGGGCCACGACCTCCTGGGCCCGACCTGGTGGCGCAAGCCTATGACGTGCTCCTGCCTGCCATGGAGAGAGCCTTCCGGGAGGCCGAGCTTAGCCCCGCCCCGCCGGCCAGCGCGCGCCCCTTCACCGGCTACTTCACCTTCGCCAACTTGACCTTCTACGAGGTGCGAGCTGGGCCGGCGGGCGAGCTGCGCCTGCGCCAATTCGGCCCCCGCGTGGAGGCGCTGGTGCCGCCCGCGTTCCGCACGCTGACGCTGCGTCATCTGCGCGGCCGCGTTTTCCAGCTGCACGTGGCCCGCGAGTTCCCGTGCGCGCTGCTGATCGGGGATTTCTGGCTGTCCTTGGAAGCGCAGCATGGACAGCTCGTCCACTTCTACCCCCTAGAGTCCTACGGGCTGTCCCCAGGCTTTGACGTGCCGGGGCTCAACACCTATCGGGTGTTGCGGCTGCAGCGCAAGCCTGTCTTCAAGACCCAGTGACCTAGACTCTTTCTAGGTCCTCTCCTTTCCTCCAGCACTCAGCTCTAGAACCAAAAGTTGGAAGGAGAAGCATCTGTTAGCGAACCGAGTACTCAGGGAAGTCAGTTGACCACAGCCAGTTGGGGAAATTGTTCCTAATGCAAGGAGGAAGAAATACTATGGAAGAAATACTATGTTTGGAATAAGCATTTACTAGCAACACACTAGTTAATGAGTAACTACAAATATTGCATAGCAAGTTGTCATTTTGTGTCTGTTGAATCTAATAAAAATATAGGTCTATATCTTTTCAATCAACATCATTGACCTTAAATTTATATAAAATGAAATGTACACATTTTAAATTTTTCTTTTTATATGGTAGGTTGGTATTGACAACTGTTTACACCCACCGCCACAACAAAAATGTAGAACGTTTCTGTAACCCCTGAAACTCCCTACCTATTTGCCCTTAATTTCCCAATAAAACCAGCACTGTGCAACCACTTGAGCTTACTTTTTGTTGCTCTATGCTATTTTTGCCTGCTTTAGAATTCCATGCAAGTGGAGTAGATTTTTGTGTCTGTGTTCTGGCACTTAGCATGATAATTTTGAAGTTAACTATATTTTAGTGTGTCAATATTTTTATTCCTTTGTAATGCTAAATGATAATATCCTGATTGTGAGGAATGAGCAGAACTGGACAATGTTTTGTTCTGTTGTCCAGGGTTGCTGTATGAATCAGAGATGATCCAGTGTTGTTTTAGGTGTCATCTGGTCGACAACAACTCATAGTGACCCTATGAACAACAGATCTGAACCTTGCCCTATCTGGTACCATCCTTATGATATGTCATGCTTAAGCCCATTGTTAACAGTCACTGTGCCAATCCCTCTTGTGGAGAGTCTCTCTCTTCTCTTCCCCACTAGGATTTTTTCCAAGGACTGGTCTCTTTTGAAAACATGCTCAAAGTATATAACAAAAAATTTCACCATCCTTGGCTTGACCACTAAAAACAAGAACTATTGACTATTTGTATTATTCCCAGGTTGGGGCCTTTATGAGTGGGGGAGAGGAAGGAAACTGCTGCAAGCATCTATGTGCAATCCCCCCCCCCTTTTTTTTCTAATATCCTTTAGTTTCTTTTGGTTAAATACCTCAGCGGAACTGTCAAGTAATTTTCGATATGTGAACTTTCACATTTGCATTTACCTTCCTTAATATAAAAGCCCAGCCTTTCTGGTGGTTGGAAATAGGCTATCTTGTCCTGCTTGATTTATAGCTTTGGAAACCCAGTGGAGTGTCAATTCTTGGTTACAACCAACAGCTGTATGTTGAGCATCTGTGAAGGAGTTTCTCATTCAAGTTTTAATTTTAATTTTCCTGATGATTAATGATGTTGCCCAAATTGGCTATCACTGTTTAGGAGATCTTTCCATTTTAAATTGAATTGTATTTTTTCTTGTTGAAATAGAAATATTTAGGTATTTAGATACAAGCCTTTTTGTTAGATATGGGTATAGTAAACTTTCCAGTCTTTGGCTTGCAGTTTCTCCTTTAAAAAATAATTTTATGTTGATTTGCATACTAAATTTGAATAAATTATGTTTCACAATATCCTACACTTACATTGTGTTTCATATAATCATTACCATTCATTGTGTTTTATACAAATTAATTACCACTGAACTATGTCCACCATTACCCCATCTTTTCAGATTCCTGTTGAACCTTACACATTTCATCCCCACTTTTTAAAGAGCTGTCTTTATTTTTTTTTAC